AGGGCTGCCAGCTTCCAGAACATCCCCCTCCACCCATCTCAGAAGACCAACTTGTAAGGCAGAAACTACTCAGAAGGAGCTGGTGGTGCGGCTCGGCCCCTGTACGACCATTGTCGATACACGCCGGAGAGAAGGCTGCCGGGAGCCCCGTCTTTAGGAAGGAAAGAAAGCTCCTGCAGGAGGACATTTCCCCCACTCTCACTGCTGGTGAACCACTCTCCAGAACTCTTCTGCATGTCTTGCTGAGCACCCTCCAAATCACCAAGCCAGCGGCTGGAGTCTTTGCATAAGGCCAGAGAAGAGGACCTAAAGGAAGTGACAGCCAGAGCTCCGGGCTGTGCTTGCCATGTCCTAAGGGCCTGGGCAGCTCCTGAGTGACTTTGGTAGCCTCGAGTCCAGTGCTATTTCTGGTCAGTGCCCTGTCTGGGCTATTCCCCATCATCTGTGTTGACAGGACAGTCTCATCATGTCTGGTCTACGTTGATACGTTTGAAAAGATAGTCCTAAAAATGGATGCTGGATGACATTGCTGAGTTCCTCGGGGACTGTCCAATCATGATCCTCCAGAGGTGTGGGTCAGTCATCTGGATGCTGCTGCATACTTGAGTCTCCCCTACGGAGCTTCTGACTCCCTGTGAAGTGACCCGGTTGCTGGGCACAGTCCCACCAGGGGCACTGACCTCAGAGGGGAAGGCAGGATCTGCCAGCAGCCTGCCTCGGAGAACTCTCCGGAGCTGACTGTGACAAGGAGAGGAGAAGCTAGAAGGAACCCAGGAGGTCCTCTGTCCTCTGGGAGGCTGGCAGCAGCCGTGGAAGCAACGGGGCATCGAGCTCAGAACTCAAGGTTCTCAGAAGTGGCGTCCACCCACATTCCTGCCTCACGTGGAGGCAGGCATAGCCCCTTTGCGCACCCCTCCTCCAGCAGCTGAGCCGGGCACCCAGCCCTGGGAGTCACCCTCACCTGTGGTTCCTTCTGGGATCTCCGCGGGAGGCTGAGCGGCCGCCTGCTCGCTGGGGGCTCCCTCATCCACTAAGGGTGCTGTCACGTCTGAAAACCATGGAGAGTCACCTCAGGGGGCCAGGATGAGGCGTGCCACGCCCCTCATCTTTGCTTTTTGAGCAGGAGCAGTGCAGGGACGGGAAGGCGGGAATGGATTCAGCTGCATGCAAAAAAGCAACACCACAAAGCAGGGCCCAGAGCCGTGCTCCCGCCTGACATCTCCCCAGGAAGCATGTTAATGTTCTGTTTGAGTGGCACCTGCTCATGAGGCGCCCAGGCCATCTGCCAGGAAATCCAGGACAGCCCCCATGTATACACTGCACGAAAGGGACTGCTGGGGATGGTCCCAAGTGTTTTTAAGGGAGAAATGTTGAAAATCAGATGACATTCACAGATCCTTACAGGAGTGCAGAACAGGAGAATGGGATTGGGACCATGGCAGTGCAGGAACTCTGGAGTTAGGACTGGAGTCTATGGCTCTGCTGGAAGGCTCGCTGTAAGCGAGTCCTTTGTTTTCTTTGGACCTCAGTTTCCTCTTCTGCACAATGGGAGTATCACCACCAGGTGACCTCCAAGTTTTTTCCCACGGCTAATCCCCATCTCTCCTGGAGCCCACGTCCCATGGTTACAAAGCACAGACTCCCCTGAGTAGCAATGAACAAGCCAGCCCTATCCAGAGTCAGGCACTTGGCAACAGGCCGACAGATGGATCCACCTTCCAAGCAGAGGCCGGAGGTAAAGATCCAGCACCAGGAGCTGCTGTTGGTCTCTCATCAAAGTGAGTACTTCCAAATTGGCACTCCTCCCCAGGCAGTGCCCTGGCACACTCCCAGGCTGTTCTGGGCAAACATAAGGAGTTGTCATCTTTGAAAGCTTTCCAAGAGCCTGAGTCAGGCTAGTCAAATGGATTCTCTTTTATTCTGGTTGTCTCAGAAGCAGCCGGCAGAGCCCTGCCCCAGTGGGCCCTCCATTCCCTGTGGAGTGAGAGCTGAAGCTCTTGGGACCCACATGTGTACAGGATTCAGAGTGCAGCAAAATTTGGTTGGAAGATGCTCCCAGAATAATGCTGATCTGGAAGGCTGGCATAAAATCTAGCATTAGTGTTTCAGGACTTTCTCAGGGCAGTAGGCAACTTGCAAAACTGTCCTAACAAGATCAGCAGGCTATGTCTTGCATCACTGGCTCTAAGAAGGAAAGCAGAAAGCATTTGGTTTGATATTCTCTTCACTAGGCTGAAAACCTCAGAGGTGGGAGGGCGGGGAGGAGAAGGGCCACATCCAGTATACCCTTCACAGATGCACCCTTATACCAAACAATTGATAGGCACTTGATGGCCACTTTCTGAATTCATCCAAAGGTGGACACTTGGGGAGATGCTGATGCCAGGTTCTCATCCTGTGACACAATTTCCAAAGTCATGGGCAGGGCCTGGAGAAGTGCTGAGAATAGAACGTTGGAGAGGATGGACAGATGGAGAGGCAGATACTGCAGACTGGTTACTCAAAAGCCATTCTCAATGCTCTTCTCCCTTGATTTCTCCTACTTAAGAGGCTGAAAGGCAAAATACTCAGTGTCCCAGCCTCCCTTACAGCCAGATGTGGCTACAAGACCCAGTTCTGGCCAACGAGAGATACAGAGTTGGCCAGGTGGGGCCTGCAGAAAAACTCTTGCTTTCTTAATAAAAAAGGAACATGTTTGGTTTCAGGGACATTTTGGTCACTTTGCTTTGCTACTTTCTTCCTGCTTCGAGGGAAGATGTGATGCCTGGAGGTACAGCAGCCATCTTGTAACCATGAGGTAATAATCCAGCCATTAAGCACAGCAGAAGATAAAGATGGAAGAGCACTAATGACACTGAGAAGATGTCGCTGAAGTCCAGACATATCATTATTTGAGACAAATGTCTTCATATATATGTCACAGTTAGTTGGATTTTCCATTACCTAAATCAAATGAAATTTTGACTGGTATTGATGGGAAGCAAGAGAAGATGGTCAAAATCAGGACCAAGGAACACTTCAGGAAATACAGGAGGAATTTTATAATAACCTAGACACCAAATGTCTACAGAGGTCAGGTTAGAATGTGCACTGGAACCAATACCATGGCCAAGGTCCAGAGGCCCAGGCCAAGCCCAAGAAATGAAGGATACTAAATCAAGATGAGTCCCAAAGTGTGAGCTTGGAGATGTGCACTGACCCACCCCTTTCCTCAGCCAAATAGCTGCTCCAGGACCTGGTGGCTCTCGAAAGATGAGCAAAGTGGGTGGGAGCTTCTGGAGGAATTTGGGGGAGGACAATGGACAAGGAGCAGGGGCTTTGTGGAGCTGTGGTTAGGCCCTACTTTGCCACAGATCCCAGCTGGTTCAAGTGCAGCTGCCTGGAAGCTCACCCACGATGAAGTCGCCCATACCTGGCACTAGCGAGCAAGGTGTCAAAACAGGGGGTGGCTCCTGCAATATTGGGGGCCTGAGCCCCATTCCACAAAGCACTGAGCGAGCATATCTCTCAGCCAGAGGGAGAGGCAGCAGCAAATGCAGCTAGGAAGGGTGGCATGTATGGGCTCAAAGCATGGCTAAGCGCAGACTGGAGCATGGAGATGCTGCTTGAATAAAGCAATGAGAGGAGGGAGGCCCCACCTTCCGCCGTCGGAGTGCTCTTAGCATCAGAGGTTTCAGAGCCTGGTTCCTCAGATCCATCATCGGCCGGGGTCTGCAGGGGAGATTCTGGAACATACACAATGAGCCCCTCAGAATGGCTGCCACTCTCCACCCCCACTTTCGACCTCAGAGGAACTTGGGAGTGGTGTCTTTTGGAGATGAAATCACCCAGCGTGGAACCCATATGGATGGAACGTGGCCGCATGAAAAAACCACAAAGGGGACCAATCCCACCCCCCCAGTACAACTGGGCCCCCATGAGGCATCAGGCAAAGACCCACGTGATGTGCAGCTGATCTGGGGCAAGAGGAGAAACTGCCTTTTAATTAGCTCATGGTTCTAACTGAGACAAAGGCTCTTATATTGACAAACGGGCAGCAGACACCAGAAAGCAAAGCCATGAGTAAATTGGGGCTTTGTCTTTCCTTATTGGAGAGGGTCACAGGAGATCACTGCCATTAATTCATGACAAGTAGACACCTGGGAAAATACTCAGAGATATAATTCCTTCCTCTGCAAAGGAATTAGCTCAGGGCAGACACAATACCTGCTTCTAACTGGACATTTGGTTGTAACTGACCACCAAGCCTTGAGTTACACCTGAAATGTCAGCCATCGTTAATTAAAGAAAACTGTCCTTTCAGAATCCAAAGCCAAGGAAGCTCTGATGGACTCTGTAAAAGCCACTCCACCTGGGGTGGGGGCAGTCTTGGAGGCGGAGGATAGGAGCTGGTTCTGCACGAAGCAAAACCCTGAGGCGATAAAAGGGGTGTTTCAGTGCACTACGAGATTAGACACCTTGCACCCTTTGCTAGAACACCATCCCAGACACCCAGCCCTGGCCGCACCCATCCAGCCAAAGAAGGGCTGATTCTACACAAGCTTCCTGCATGCACCTGGGTGGTGGGTCCTGGAGCTTGCAAAAACCTGCACACTGCCTCAAGTAGCTTCAGACACATGGTAAGGAAGCATCATGGAGACTGTCTGCCGGGTCTTTTTACCAAGCAGCCTGGACTGCCAGAGCATAGGGGTCTATGGGTGTGATGGTGCCTCAGGTCCTTGACCCCCAAACACCCCCTCCCCTAATCTGTCCCCAGCCTGCAACTGCCATCATTAGCATTATCCTTGTTAAGTTTCTTGGAGGCAGGGAAGGAAGGAGGAAGAGGCCTCTTCTGAATGTCTTACCTGGAAGGTCTAACAAGTTAGCCCATTAACACCTTTTAATTCATTAAGGTGCAGTATTTCATCTGTTAAGCAACCTTCACCCACTTTGCAGCTCTCTTTGGCTCTATCTAGTCCTATTCCAACTTTTAGCATCCACTTAGAAGCTCTTTGTTCCAGTATATTACATGTAGTTTTTTGTCATTATTCAAAATAGTCTCTGTCACTTATCTAAAATGTTGCTTGTAAAGTGACACCTTCTGCCAAGTCACAACCCTCCCTCCCCATATAAAAATAACTCATTCTAAATCCTTAGTAGTAAGAACAAATTTGATGAGAACTATGAAAATCTCTTAGGGATCACTTGCTTTCTTGGCAAGTTTATTCTTCGTGTAAGTTTGCTTAAAATATCTTTAAGCACTTTCCTTTCACAGCAGTGACAAAAAGGTTAGCAACTTAAAATTTGCATATATATATATATTATACTTCCACACATATATATGTTTTTAGCATAGATCTTCCAATCAGTTTTATGTTAAAAGAATTGAGGAGTTTCAGCTAGCACAATTTAAGCAACTCTGAGACACAAAATAACTTGGTAAACTTGTTCTTACTTTACAAGTTGAATTTAGTTTCTCCTTCAAAAAATGAGTTGTAAAAACCACTTTTTTTTCTGGACTTAAATAAAAAATGCACTTTTAATTTGAAAACAGTTTTAGATTCACAGAAAAATTGCAAAATAGAGCAGAGAGGGTACCCCACACCCAGTTTCCCCAATTATTAACAACCTATATTATTGTGGTACATTTATTACAACATAATATATATTTTAACTTAATTTTTAAACCAGTCTACCCTAAACAGAGTATCATTTTTCACTGGCACAATTCATCTGGGGCAGAATTCAGTATGATGGGAGTCTAAGTTGGATTCCATGAGCCTTTAATAACTGAAGCTCCCAGGGGACTTGGCTGAAAGAGTGACCAGAGGCAAAAAGAGCTGACGTGGAGCTGAAGGCTATACCAGCCCCGTGATCTCAGAGATGAAACTCTGTAAACTGGGGAAGGTAACATCTGCCTTTACTGGTTACTGTGAGCAGTGACTGAGACGTTGGTAGCAAAGACCCTTTGCTAACAGTAGAGTTCTACAAGAATGCCTGAATTATCATTTTAAGGAAGTTCCATTGTACGTAGGGTGACCATATACTTTATCACTCAAATTTGGACCCTTGATACATTAAGTGAAAACGTGATACTAATAATGACAGGGAAGAGACGTGCGGAGGGGTGGCGGGCTCAGGGCCTCGGATGAGCAAACTCTTAGCGTCCTGCTGCCCACTCCCCGACCCCTGCCGTGGGGAGCTGAAAATTAGCAGCTCTGGCTGGAGCCAGGCTGTGGCCTGGGACAGGTCAGAATGTACTCTTCTTGTCACCACTTGGGGGGAGGTTTGGGCCTATCTGGAATGCTTGGCTGGAGCGGGCATCTCTCCCCAACCCCTCACCCAGAGTTTCAGGCTGGGTGGGCTCCAAGAAGGCCAGTGGGTGGTCTCTGAGCTCCCAGACAGCCTGCTCCTTCCCCTGCCTCCTCTGACTTGGAGCCCACTTGTTTAATTCCCAAGCTGACTCCAGTTCTCCACTTAAACTGGTACAGAGAAGACAGCCTCTGAAACAAGGCCCCCCAGTGAGTCCTGAAACCTCTCCAAGAAAGGGAAGATTGCTCCTCATGTTCAACCCAGGGCACCTCCTGGTGACCCCGCCTCCTCCAGGGGGCCTTCCTGGATCGATGTACCCAGAAGAGGTCCCCTCCCACCTTGGAGCATCACCACTTCCATCTACCATCCCACCCCCCATGCTGCAAAGTGTTTTATTATTTTTAGCATTAGAAAAGTAGGCTGGCTGCCATGCTGCCTCCTTAGAAGTGGGTCTGGAGGACAGGAACCTAGTCTTTTTCACACCAGGGCTGCACTGGCCACCAGTGACACCATGGGGAGAAGAGCCTCTCACAGCCCAACTCAGCACCTCAAGGGCCAGCTTGGTGCTCCTGGCAGAGACTCAGAGACTGGCATTCGGAGCTGGAGAGAGGGCTCTGTGTGCTCCTTGGGGTCCCCGAACTTGGTGGTCAGACAGTGAAATGAAGGGGAAGGGAGGAGGCCAGGCCAATTTGACTAAAACACTGTACTATAGAATATTTAGAAGCTGATGTGGTTTATTAATGTAGATGCAGTAGGAATCCCAGAGCTAATCAACTCTCGCCAAATAGGGGCCAGACAGGCCTATTAAGGGAGACAGAAAAATAATGTATATAGTGGGATATAGCTCAAGAGGTAGAGCACATGCTTAGCACGCATGAGGTCTTGGATTCAATCCCCAGAACCTCCTCCAAAAATAATTACCCTCCCCCAATAATGTATAAAGGTCACATTTTGCATGCTAACGAATCCTGTTGATTTATAGACTAACAGGTGTGGCTAAAGACTCCAGAGAGCACTCCTGTATGAATTAGACCGATGCACCCCCTGCAGTCTTTGTCACATTACATCCTTGCATGTGGCGAACTCTCCTTTGGAAAGGAGGATTTTCAAATAGCCTCACTCTTTGAGTTCTGTTGGCTCATTCAAATTAATGAGGCTTCAACTCTATTGACAATCTAACAGAATAAAGTATTTAAAATGCCTTTAGAAAGCAGGATGCAAACCCTTCCTGCTAGCCCTTTCCAAAGCAATCGGGTTGGCCGTGATCCCCAAGGCGCCTGGGCCTGTTACACATGGCGGTGCACTAACCTTTCAGGCCATGGTCCACATCACCCTCGTGGTCTTGCAGCAGGGTGTAGTCCCCCTGAGCTTGATCTTCCATTACGTTGAACTCCTGGCGGGGCTCAGCCATCCCAGTTCAAGGCTCACCTGGAGAATGAAGATGGGAGGTGAGGGCTGGGGTGCTGAGCTAAGGCTAAGTGCTGGGGGTGGGGCAGGGAGAGAGAGGTGCCCAGTTCATGGCAGACAGATTTCCACCTCTCCTCTCCCCTCCTCAGCAACCAGATGCCCAACCTCATCCTCGGGGGTGTATCTCAGCCGAAGTGTTATTAACATGTACGCGCACTTTTAATTCACCCAGATCACATCAGTTCATATTCAAAACCATGAGGTGGGCAGGTTCAGTAAACCTGACTTGTTATTATGCCCAGTGCTCTTTCCTCACCGCTGAAAAGTCAATGCTGCTGACTTTTTGATGTTTGATGGTTTCTTTGTGGAGAGGGACGGCATCAGCCAGGCACTGCTGGTGAGGAAAAGGAGGTGCAGAGAAGCAAGGAGACTGTTTAATCACACGCGGCTGTGCAGCGGAATCAGCTCTTGACCCGGCTGTCCTGACTGCCCAGCACCGAGTCGGGTGGCCTCCCGGGGGCAGGGCGGGGCTTCCACTTACCTCACCGGCCCCCACCAGGACCCTCTGGTGTGCATTCCCAGGGCTGGGCCAAGTCCCTAACAGGGCCCAGTCAGGGGTAAGATATTGGAGGTGAAGAGCAGCAGGTATCGGCTCCCCCCACCCCTTCTCCAGGCCCCGGCCCAATCGTGGCTTCAGCTCAACAGAGCCCACCAGGAATGACCATTTAACCATACTTTGCCCTCCTCTTTACTGAGGATTTTCAATCCTTTATTTTAAAAATAACTTGTAACTGAATTTCTGAGCTTTTGAGGAGGCCATTTGCTCTGGTTCATTCAGAGTACTTTGGATTATTCCATAGTTTACATATTTATCTCTGTCATTGGAGTCTCCTGTCTTTTACTTTGATATCTTTAAAAAAAACTATCTCTTTATCTCATATTACTTATTTCCTACTTTATATTTTTCTTATCTTTGAAACTCCCCTGTTCTAGTTGCTTTTACTTCCCCCTCTAAATTTTTATAATTTTTGATCTTGGTTTCTATTTCTTACCCTTTTCAAATCTCAGCTATGTTTTGTGGGGGGGGTATAGCTCAAGTGGTAGAGTGCTTGCTTAGCATGCATGAGGTCGAGGTCCTGGGTTCAATCCCTAGGAACTCCTCTGAAAATAAATAAACCTAGTTACCTCTCCCCACCAAAATAAAGTAATTAAATAATAAGTAAAACATAAGGCTATTAAAAAAATAAAAATAAAATAAATTCTTAGCTATGTTTTGACTTATTTTATACATATTTATTTGACTTATTACATATGTTTATATAAAGATATAAAGACATAATAAATACACATATGTATTATTACATATGTAATAAAACATATCTAAATAAACATATATTTATTTATTTTACATATATTTATTTAAATCCTCACATTGTTTTATTATTTTTACTTTGAATTTTCACTCCAGATTCATGTTAACGTTTCACTTAATTAACATTTTAATTTTTTGGAGATAATTTTAGACTTACAGAAGAGTTATAAAAGTTGTCCCGAGTATCACTGAGTCATTTTTAAACTTCTGAAATCCCTTTAAAATATACTTCCCTGTTAGTTTCTATCTTTCTAACCTCTTAGGGTGCTTTTGTTTTTGTTGAACTTTTCTTCTTATAATTGCAGCTTTTATAATTTTTAATAATTTTAACATAAATTTAGTCTTTAATTTTCATTTTTAAAGTTTGGGTTGCCACCTCCCCTTCTTCATTGCCTTCCATTTATATTCTTACCTTTATTCTAATTTTGTTTGCATTCTTCACTTTAAATCTCTAATTTTCCTTTATAATTTGTTAATAGTTATCCTCTTACGTTTCTGTTTTCATTTTGTGAGCTGTTTTTCAGTGGCCATGGGCGAGCTGTTGGGGGAGAACTGGTAACACAAACTGGAGAGGAGAGGACAGGGGCCTTTCTCCGTCCTGCCTCCTCTGCGTCTAGCTCTCTGTTGTCTGTGATCACTGAATAATGTCTGCCATGGGCGAGGTGTGGAGGGCACATCTGATGTCATGCATTGTCTAAGTGCACTGTGAATTGCAGAATGTTCTAAAATCCACAGTCTCACCTCCGACAGGTGTTGGGCAAGTCATATAAATGGTGGGCTACAGGGTGGGAGGGACCACCTGGGTCAGACCTTCCATGTAACACTTTGCAGACTGACACTGGCGGTAGGACAGCCAGACTTCTGGTGCTGTTTGTACCAGCTGGGCACTGGCACGCTCACGTCCAGCTCCAGTCCCCTCCCTTCCAGGCAGGACATGCTGGCGTGGGTGTCTGAGTTCTCTTCTCCATCCACAGTGTAGGCTAAGAAGCTGGGATGGCTTAGGAGTGTTCTAAGAATAGGTCAGTGAGATCTCTTCTGGGTGAAGCAGAGAGTGGTGGCCTGGCTGGCCCCACTTAGGCCGCTGCTACATACAGAGAAGGGGTGCCTTTTCATTCTGACTGGGGCTCTTGTCCCTCAAGGAGCTCTCGGGAGATGCATCCAAGGCCGAGCATCTCCAAACCTTTGGCATCTCCTCAAGGATGAGCAAGACTTCATCTTGGGAAGTTCGAAGTCCCTATTCATCCATCAAGGCTTAGGATTTGGTGGTGATATTCTCTACCCTACATGCTGATGGTTGGTTTCCCTTCTAAAGTTTCCAAACATAACAATCCCTCTTCTAAGAGGAACCAGTTCTATTATCCAAGGACTCAACTACTGCTCCTCACCCACCTCCCCAACGCCTCCCTCACTGCTTCCTGATGAAGCCTCTCTCAGGATGTCCCTGGTCACTGCCCAACTGCTCATCCCTGGAAAAGGTCCGTGAGTCACCATGTCTACTGACTCACCAGGAGCCCCACCCGGGAGCAGCGGAATCAGCCCAGAAGCTCAAGGCCTCCCAAACTGACTGGAGACTCTACACCTGGCCCAGGTGAGATAGGCCAGCCAACTCAGGTTCAACCTGCAGCTGAGGTTTTAGTGAACACTAAGACGTTTCATGAGTTCTGTAATTTTGTTTTGTAGATTTGATAGATTCCTTTCAATGACCAAGTTTTCCCACCTGGAACATGGTGGATGGAAGTGTAGTAAAAATCTGATGCATTGGCTTCTTCTTTTATAAAACGCCCATTTATATATATCCTTTGCTTCTCTGTTCACGTCTCAGTGATGACTGAAGTGAGCTCTTAACCTATGAGTAATACTAACCCTTCATCATATTTGTAGCCGACAGCTTCTCCAGTCAGTTGCCCTTTATTTTGGTTTCTGACGCTTTTACTGGCAGGTTTTAACTTTTATATGGTCAAATCTATGTTCCTTTGTGATTTATTCCATTACTCTATGGTACATAAAGCTCATTAATATTTTCTACTATGTTTTTAGTGATTTAATTCTATGTATTAAATCTATTAATTCATCTAGAATTTATTTAGGTGTATGATACGATGTGGGAATCCAAAAGATTTCTCCCAATTTTCTAACAAATACAATAGCTAAACAGTGGGCCCAGCCCTATTCATAGAACAGTCTTCCTTCTTTACCCAGGTGAACGAACCATCTAGTCTGCTCCATTCACCTGTCAATTTTGGTCCTAGACTCCCCTGATTTAAGCTTTGGACCTCCAGCCTTGTTCTCTAGGTGAGCTTAGACACTCTCACTTTCTTTTTTCAAAATTGTTTGACTTTCTTGTACGTTTTTCTCTTCCAGATGCTGTTTAGGGCTTTTTTTTTTCCCCCTCAATTTCTCAAAATTTCACTAGGATTTTGGCTAGAGTTGGGTGATGCGCCAAAATGATAAAAAATGGCTCTCTTCACAATATTTAGTACCCCCTCCAAGAGCAAGGTAAGTTTTCCCATTTGTTCTTGTTTCCAAATCTCTTGGGGTGGATTGGGGGATGCAGTCCTGCATCTTGCTGAGGACTTTTTTTTTTGTCTCTCTCTATTTCCCCTATCTTTTCTAATCTTGCTGAGGCCACTTTCCATGTCTCCTCATCCTTTGCATTGCCTTTGTGAGTGGGACCCTCCGCTCATCACGCGTGATGATTTACTAGTAAGGGCTTTGGGTTTCCAAGCAGAGATGATTATGGCTGGAGCCCTAAAGCTGCAATTGGTTCTCCCCCAGGTCTCTGGAACATGAATGGGAGAACCATTTTCTAGGCTTCTTTTTATCAGACAGATGTGATCCCTTACCAGAAACTTGTGAAAAGAAGCTGGCAGAGTCCGAGAGAAAATGAATTTTGCATGAAAAGAATGTGGGGTGAGGGGGGTGCATTCTACACTTATCTCTACTCTTGAAGCCAGTTTGCCCCTAGTCCAGTGGTTGCTCATATTTTAAAATCATGGCTTTTGCAGAAAGCAGTTCTTTCAAAGCAGCCTGGGAGGGATGAGAGGCCAGGGACCCACAGGTGCTGTAGCTCACCAACACGTCATGCATATCCCAAAGCTCACCCTCTAGTGATGCCCTGAAAAGACAGGCTCACTGATTAAAGTTCTCTTCTTCCGATAACTTAGTGCTGCTGCCCCAGCCCTCCTGCTGAGCTTCCCCACTGCCTGAGCATGCATGTCCCCATGTGCCAGCTCATTCCTTTGCACAAAGCGAGGACAGTAAAATGCACCAGCTGGCAGGCCAGGCTCAAGACAGGAAGAACACCAAGCCGACCTTAGTGATCTCAGATGTGTCTAGACAGTACTTAACAGGCAAATTCAGCATCGATGAAAGTCGATGTAGTGTTTGTGCCAAGTGAACTGCTTTCCCTTAGGACTTACACTGTATCCTCAGAGGTGGTTCCCACCACCCCTGGCTTGTGTCCAGCTCAGAGAGGCTGCTTGTGCTATGGCTGCCATGGTTCCTTCCCTGCCCAAGTGCCCGACCACCGTGTCAGGGATGAATGGGGTGACCCACGTGACATGGTGGCTGCTTCTTACTTGATAAGTCCGGAGGTGGGCAAAGTGGCCAGTTTGGACTTTGTTTAGAGGCACAAGCAGGGCAGCATTAA